AACCTGAAACTGTTCTTAACCTGAAGCACCACTTTAGCTAATGGGGCCTCCCGCTGCTGCCGCACCGCCGGAGCACGATTTCTGTTCTCATCCTGAAGCAAAGTTCTTAACCTGAAGCACTATTTCTGGGTTAGTGGAGTCTGTAACCTGAAGCGTATGTAACCTGAAGCGTATGTAACCTGAGGTACCACTGTAAAAGGCCTTGGTGAGAACTTTCCTTGTCTTCTCCATTCCTGGCAAACTACAGTGCGAGGTTGGATCCTCTAATGCCTGACACCAAGCTATCCTTGTCCAGGAAAGGGCACCATTGATGCACCAACCTGAGCTGGTGAAAGGCACTTTTTGCCATGGAAGTTACCTGTTGTAGTCAGGTTCTGGCTGGGCACTGTGAGACTAGATGGACTGAGCCAGCAGCCTGGCTCTTACTATGGTCTTATTCCTACAGTTGCACACAGAGGGGCTTTTTTCAGAATTCCTTATGAGTGTGCATAGATCAGAAGAAGTTTTTCCTTCTGCAATCCACCTTCCCTCTCCTAAGCACATTCAGCTGAACGTCTGAAAGGGGTGCAGTGCCAACTCTTGAGCTCCCACCAACTTAGAGTGTTTGGGTGCTGTCTGAACACCAAGAACTGCCACAGCCAATTGCAAGGCATGATTCTCTTTGGGGAGAGGCTCAGCTCCGTATGATCCCAAAGAGAAGTCACTCTCTTTCCTTGGAGACGCATTTCTTTTTAAACTCATCCATCAGCTTACACTTCGCTATTCTCCAAGTTCCCCTGCTCTCATTGTCAGCTTTCTCTCCTGGACAGTAAACAACAAATGGTTCTTTTCACCCAGGAGATAAGATTGTTCGCCTTCCAAAGTCACCGCCGTGTGTATGCGGAGACTGGAATTGTTTGAATAATGAGTCTCTGGTAGAACGTGTGTTTCTTTTTGTGTGTCCTTTTGGTAACAAAGATCTGAGCTCCCCAAGGCAGCTGCAGCTTCACCTACCGAGAAAGCGGAGAGGCTGCTTCTGAAGGGCACAAGTTACTGCAAAAGGGATCTTGCCTTTGCATTCTCATGCCAGGCAAGGGACGGAACAATGGACCCTTTGTGCCAAAATCCCCACAAGGAATTGCAGGAACCTTGTGGGCCACAGGTCTGATTTGACTCCAGCAACAGAAGCCGCTGCAGCATTTGGATGTATTAACTATTGATTTGCATTCTGGGAGTTGGATGGGGTGGGGGAGAAGATGCACAGATCCTCAAAGCTACCATGTTGGGCTTTCTCTGGGCCCTGGGCTAACCTTCTGAAATGGGATGATGCTAGTGGTGGGTTGAAAGGCTTGATCCATCAGAGGCTTTTCCAACATGCAGGTGGAATGAAACTTGCTTCCAGGGGCATACCTAGGGGATAGGCAGGTTGGCCTCCGCCAAGGATGCAGGCCCAGGGAGGTGCAAAAACTGCTTCTGGGTCAGACTGGCTAGGAGCCTGTCCATCTACACACTCCCTAAGCTGCTCCTCCACTGATCTGGGCAGCCAGGTGAGACGGGGGGGGGGCATAGGAGGCAACTCCTAGTTGCTGAGGGGTCTTTGCCCCCCATAAAATATTTGAAGGCCCCCAAAATGTTGATGGGCATTGCCATTCAAATGGTGTGCATGCACTGCATCATGTGATCAATTATGCAGGGTGGGGTTTACTTGGAACCACCCAATATTTTATTCACCCTGGGAGAAGGCTGATATATCTTCTTGCCATGAGCACAAAGGACAGGGGGAGGCGCCAATACAGCTCCCTGCCAAGGGTGCAAGGGAGTCTAGGTACAGCTCTGCTTGTTTCTAAAGAGATTGAAGCTTCCTTTGTAATAAAATAAAACCCAAAGCTTGATTTTGGCAGTCACTTGGAAGGGAGGACACCCACCACACTTTAGGCCTTGAGAGGAGATGTTGGTGATCTGGCAAAAATATCTCAGCATCTTGCAGAAGACCACCCTTGCGGCCCACCAGGATCTGAGACACACCCTTACGTTAGTTGCCTCTGCAGCAGAGGCAAAGCCAAGAGTAGCTGAGAGGGAGGGCAGGAGGATAGGGTGGGGTGCATGGGTATAGTCAGGATTTTTTTGGGGGGGCAGGACTTTTTGTTAGCAGGGGCAGAATCAATGTGATTGGTCAGTTAGTTAAGTATTTATGTTGTTTTACTTGATCCAGCTGCCCCCCTCCCCCTTTGTCTACGTCCATGGTGGTGAAATAAAAAATTTAAGGTCTTATATATATAATAAATGTTCATAAATGTACCAACCAAGCACATACATAGATATGGGGACCACATGTCTGGAGCAGCACAGGAAGACAGTCCTGAAACCATTTTGACTCCCAAACTGACCAAATGTTTTCTCTGCAAGGAGGGAGGGGGTGAGGGAACCTTCCCATTGTCTCAGGAAGTGGGTAATCACCATCTCAAAAGGAATGTCCAGACTACCAGGAAAGGCAATCAGATAAGGCATTATCAGATAACCTGGCAGACAGGAAAAACAACAACATTCAAATTTCTGTTGTAGACCACCTTTCCTGTGATGTAGGTATGATGTTTGTGGGGTGGTGGTTTTGGGTTACACCTCTTCTGTGATGTATGTATGATGTATGGAGGGGTGGTCTTGAGCTCCAGGGCAGGGAATTTAAAATGTCTATATAAGGGCAGGCACACCTTGGTTCTGGGTCCTCCTCCTTTCCTGCATGTGATGGGAGCACCCTGTTGCAACAGTTCAATAAAGATCAGGCTTACTAGCTGCTTTACTTCTCAATACTCTCTGGTCGGCCTCTGTTATGTTCTCCTGCCGATGGAGAACCTACAAAGGACTCTATAAGGGCTCTTGTGTCCCCCATAAGGGAATAAGGGCAGATTTTGTTTATTGCAGTGGGGTGGCTCAGTTGCTGGCATGAGGGGCATTGGTGACTGGTGCATTGGGGCAAATGGGACAGTGTCCCACCACCCACAGTCTGCCATCAGCTGGTCCCCACCTGTCAGCTTCCTCCTCCCTAGTTTCAGTCTTGCCCATATAGACAAAGCCAGAATTAGAGGTCTCTGTTGGTCATTGGCTCTGGCTCCTCCTACTCCTGGGCTCCTTGCCTTCCACCAATGGGTGCCAGCCTCCACTGGGGAGGAATACGCTTCCTCGCCCACTAGAAAGCCTGTCTGTTCTCTCTGTGTCTGATTGCTGGGCTGTGGGGTTCCTGTCAAGCCTGTAGCTTGCTGCCCTTAAGCCGGTCAGGAAAAAGGTCCATCGCCCAAGGGCAGGAGAAGTGGGGGAGAAATTTGATTCAATTCCTATTTAAAAGTGTACCTACCTGATCTGTACTTTCCAAACCAATGTGGGAACTGAAACACAGCTTCCCATCTAAATTTGCCCATCTCTGGACTAAAAAAAATGAATCTCTGTGAATATGTATCCATATTTTCACATGCATTTCACATAATACGTGTGATTTTGCCTAATACACACTCTCTTTTTTTGGCAAACACTTCCCCCCGTATTGCAATATTCCATACTGCATTTTTGTACATTATTTTCACTAGCGTAAATATTTCTGTTTGCATTTTCCCTTTTTTGAACAGGGAGCTACATCACAATAATAAAACTGGGTTGAGGGCATGACCTCCTTGGAGGAAAGAAATGGGTAGAAAAGTATTTCAATTAAAACATGGCACAGGGCTAGGCGTTGTCTGCCTCCTTATGCATAAAAACAACTGGAGGTCTTGCTAACCTGTTGGATGACCTGCCGACAATTGAGCAAGTAGCTCGGCTTCAGGAGGTGCTGAAACTGGGCAGAGGGGCCCTGCCCTTTGACCTTGCCACCAGAGTACCGGGACAAGGCATCAGAGCATTTAAAATACATTAAAGGTGTGCCGACTTTGAAGTGGGAAACTCACTCTGTGTTTAATCATAGAGAAACAACTTTTCAGAAGGTTTTCTTTTTCTTTTTTTTCTTTTTGCCTCTACCTTCAGTGGAGTGGCTTCTCCTGTGGATAGTACCATGAATAAAACATCCATCTCCCAATTAAATCTTGATTTAATTTCTCTTCTTTGTAGAACTGATGAACTTGAGTGGTTTCACAAAAGGCAGTGAACATTAGTATTCTTTTGTGTTACAAAATCCCGCTGGAGGAACAAGGGACTCAGCATAATCACCCTGTGCTCTCTCTCCCAACCCCTCTGAACTCTCTGATGATTTAGAGGATTAGGGGAGAGGAGGGGGAAATGAAGAATATTCTCCCTGGTGGCAGACGGCCACCAGCCCATGACCCCTGCCCAGTTCCAGAGCCCTGGAGAAATGGACACACACACACACACACACACACACACACCATCTGGGAAGAATCACTCCATTACTAGTACGATTTCTAAAACAGGCCATTCCCATCCCTCAAACTGGCCCTCATTAAATTGAGTCATGATAAGACCCATTGACACAGTTCTGTTCCATAGGCAATTATGACAAATTCAAAATCACTACATATAAATATTCTACAGGACATTTATTCCCATTTTACAGCTGGGGAACACTGAGGCAGGAATAAATGATAAGACTACGCAGTGAACTCAAAAGCAGGGGAGAACTGACTAAATGGAGGCCAAATAATCCCAGTTTATCTGTAAACACCTGCAAACTCTGCAAGTGATTTGCACAGTAACCCAGACAATTTTATTAAACCCACAATACTCTCTGTGGCTGAATAGTATCTTACCAGATTTCAGAACTGCACCATCTGGCTACTGAGGATTTTGCAGGGCTGAGGCCTAAAGCCTAATCCAAATCAGGTATAATCAATGGGACTTGGGTGTCGGATGAGTCAAGGGCAGGCAGCTACGGATCCCTGTGTATTAGGTTGGATGGCCCAGAGTGATCCATGGCTGTCAGGGCTTGGTGCATCAGACAGGAAGGTTTTGCATGACCTTCCATTAATGACCAGTGTGTCAGTGGTGCAGTGCCACCCCCTCAAGCTGCACTGAAATGGATCTCCTGCACATTGCAGCATAGCTCTAGTGGCCGGCATTGCAAGCAATGGCCAGGTATGGGCTCAGCACTCCAATGGCATCCATTTTCAGGGCTAGTTCATTCAACTGGTGAGCTGTTACACATTCCTTAGAGGATTCCAGATTCCATGGCCGTCATCCCCTCTGTCTACATAAACTGACACCTTTTCTGGGGACTGATGAGCATCAAAATCAGACACCTTTACCCGGCATCGGCTTCACCCTGCAGCGTGACATCTGCTTACCAAAACTGACCCACTAGGCAGCTTGCATCCCATTCCCATGGGCTTCTTACCCATTTAAAGCTTGAGAATAGGTTGAGGTTGTTCCTAAAGTCAGGCTTGTCCAAAGTCTGGCCCGGGGACCACTTGCAGCCCCCAGGCTGGTTTCAAATGCCCCCCTCCCTGGCAATTTTGAAAAAGCAATCTCTTGCAGCCCCCGAGCGCCTGCTCACCAAAACCATTTCCTTTTTGCAGGCTTGTCATGAGCTCTCCCCTCTTCGCAGGGGCGCTGCTAGCCCCCGTGCCATTAGGGAGTCCCTGGCTGCATCACTCCTTGGGTCAACCAATCTGGTCGCCCGGAGGGTGGGCGTGGCTAAATAAATAAATACTACAGTACACGTTCGGGACGTTGATGCTGCAGCGATGGTGGTGGTAGAGGGGCGGACGCCGCCTTGACCCAGTGCCAGATTTATGTATAGGCTAAGTAGGCTGTAGCCTAGGGCCTCTAAATCTTGGGGGCCTTACCAGCCCGCCTGTTACCCAGCAGGCAGTCTGCTCTCTCCCAAAATTGCAATCCCAATACTTCATGTGAGGCCAGGACAACTTGGGACTCTAAATCTAGGGGATCTCGCCAGCCTGCCCGCTCCCCAGTGCCGCAGTCTCCCCTCTCCCAAAATTGTAAACCCAAGACTTCATTTGAGGGCAGGGCAACTCAGGCCCAGCAACTATGAGACTCAGGGCTAGCCAGTGGGGCCAAATTTGAAGCAGTGGGGCGCAACTTGAATTATTATTATTTTTTTTTGGAGGGCCCCAGTTCACAGCCAAAGTCTGCAAAATCTTATAGATATAAATAAAATCCATCTAGATTGTCCTGGTGCGGGGACCCCTTAGGAGTGGCATGCGGGGCCCAATTTGGCCAAATTGCTCCAATTGCCTTAAGGTCAGCCCTGATGAGACTGTGCAGGGGTTGGACTGACAAGCCCTGCACCTTCTTGGTCCCTGGTGTCACTATTCAGAATACGAACTCAAGGACTTGTTATGGAAATTGGGGGGGGGCATTTATTGGAAATCAGTTTTGTCACCTCTTTCCGCCCCCAAACCCCGAGACAATGAGTCCAGCCACCTTTTATTCACAGTCGCATAAGCACTACACTACAGCATGGCCATAAACCTGTACATTCAACCGCTGAAATATACACCCAATAGGTTGCAATGGAGATTTATGTTACTACTTTATGAATGAACACTGTGTTTTATGAATGGACTCTGTATTTTGTGAATTACCTAAGAGTCACCAATAGGGAGCTCTAGAATCTGACAGCTAACCAATTGGGTACTACCAAACAGCGACCCCTATTGCTGAAAGCAGGTAACCAGCAGGGAATGCTTCACCTCAGCCTTTGCACTGTTGACTGAACACCCCCTGCTGTGCAGATAATGGAGAAAGCTCATAAATTGTATCCCTTCTGGCATCCTGGCCAACTCTATTATGCTGGTGTAAACCCTGGTGCACCAGAAGCCCAGAATAGCAGCAAATAAAATCCACTCATACGTCAGTGACTAATAAGACTTGTCAACCAGTTCTTCCAAAGTCTTTCTAAATTATAAAGCTCCAAAATATAGGCCAAAAGAGAGCAGGTCTGGGAAGAGCGAGGCATACAATGAGTACCACCAGTGAAAAGGCCCTGCTCCGTGTAGCTCCGGCCCTGTCATTTGATAGGGTGCCCACCTGCCCTCCTTCTTGACATGGAATGCTCTCCATTGGAGTCTCCAGGTCCAGTACAAAGACCATAAGAAGGGAGAGCGGGGACCTTGAAGTTCCAACAGCTGTTAAGCAAGCAAGCAAGCACACAGGTCACCTTTTGTCACAGTCAGGACGTCTATGTCCTGGCCAGGCCTGCACCCAATCTTGTTTTTGTACAATCTTGTTTGTTCTCAGTAACCAAAATTATATTATCAACATATACAAGCAGAAAAGTTGTTTTCCTTCATTTGCAAGGAATTGTGTAAAACAAAGTGGCACTAATAAAGAAAAGTTCCAGGGTAGGAACAGAAAGCAAATTGCTTTTACAGTTCATCAGAACTATCCAGCAATATCAAGTTATAGGAGGCAGCTACAGTTGCAAATGGAAACAATACATCTGTGAAAGGAAGAGGAGCAGGTTTGCTCAAGTGTGTTGCAGGTAGAAATACTGTTTGTAATGAAGTGAGAGCAGTAGTTTACTTGCTCGAATTAACAAATAAGAGAGTTTTGAGAATTTAAATTCTAGATTAAAATTGATTACTTAATTGAGAAGGGGATTGTAACAAAAACACTGGGGCCTAATTTGAATAGTACAGTGCCTAGTATCTGGTGGGCAAACCAAAGTACTCGTCAGGAGAGCTATGAGATTCAGGTGAAAGGTCAGATGCCTTGTCAATCCTAGCAGGCATATAAGCCGGTGCCCTTCCACTATTCAGATTCCGTTCTTAGACCGAGGTAAAGTTCTCAAACCAAGACACTATTTTGCAGAGTTTTTAAACCAAATAGTTCTTTAACCAGACTGTTCTTAAACCAAGGTACCACTGTACTTGTCTATCAAGTTCAGTTCTGTCTACTTTGACCAGCAGCAACCCTGCAGGGTCTCCAGCAGAGAGAGGTGTTTTCTGTCACCTGCTACTTGACTATTTAACTAGACACACCGGGGAGCTGAGCGTGGGGCTTTCAGCTTGCAAAATATGCGCTGCACCTACTGAGTGATGGAAGCCAGCTCATGCCTTGCTAAACCTCTTAATTTCTCAGGTGCACAAGCTTGCCATAACACCTCCTGTGCAAGATACGCTTCTGGTAGCTTGATTTCTTTATTTACTCTGCCGTTTTGTGGCTGCCAGTGCAGGGTGGAAATACTGTACTGTAAAACATGCTTCTTAAAAATAAAAAGGCCAATAAATTAGGATCAAACATCTTCTTCTCTTTGTTTTAACTTCACATCCATCTCTTTCCCCAGATATCTCTCTCCCCACCCCCCACCCCCGTGCCATACATAAACCCTTTGCTTGTTTTGCCTCCATCTCTGCTGTAAAAGGACTGGCTGATTTACAATCTAGCATGATTGATAAGCATTTCTGGTGCCTGATTTATAAGAGGTAGCTGGTGATTTAAGACAGAAAGGTTTAGGTGTGATTTGCTTTTGATTGATAGCATTTGCTCTTATAAACGCACAGTCTTGTAAATGCCCAATTTGAGGTTAACATCTCCGTGAGGGTCCAGAGAATGCGTGGGAGCTTTCGGATTCAGATTTGGAAAACTGGACCATTATGATATTTAGGAACAAAGTTGCTAGATCAAAAATCAGAATCTGGGGGTAATGGGGGCAATTTTAATAATAAAGTTGGACAACTTTAAGTGTAATTTCCTTCCCTTCGAGCCATCAGAGAGGACTCTGGTTGAAGATGTAGTAAAACTGCAAAGGGCTAATTGCTGGCATAATACATACAGATGCCTTCAACCTTCTCCTGAGTTTCTTTTTAAATGAAAATCAGGCCTGGGAGTCTTCTGTCTTCAGCAAGGAGCTGGGTGCTATTGCTTGCTTCTCCGAGTTGCTCCCCCATCCAGAAAATTATATGTTGGGAAAGGCATGTGTGATCAGAAAAATGGACAGATGAAGGACCCCCTTCTCTAGCCAAATCCACAACTTTCCCAAGACTGCTTATTTATCATTAAAAGAGAAAGGTAAACATATTCCTTATGGGTAACACTGTGTTTGTCCCAGAGAAAGGATTCTCTTTGGGAGGGTAGGTTCAGTGGTACCTCGGGTTACAGACACTTCAGGTTACAGACGTTTCAGTTTACAGACTACGCTAACCCAGAAATAGTACCTTGGGTTAAGAACTTTGCTCCAGGATGAGAACAGATATTGCGCGGCGGTGGTGCGGCGGCAGCAGCGGGAGGCCCCATTAGCTAAAGTGTTACTTCCGGTTAAGAGCAGGTTCAGGTTAAGAATGGACCTCTGGAACGAATTAAGTTCTTAACCTGAGGTACCTCTGTATTTGTGGATTTTACATTCAGAGTTTGTATTGGAGTGAACATCCCAGCTGGTGGGATATGTGGCCTCAGACTCCCTAGACATCCTCTGGGGATCAGACTGAACTACTTTGAATGTGGCCAACAGATCCCATTACTGATCTACTTGCAACTTCTAGGACCTGGAGCTTCGAGCAATTTTTCCAGCTCCTTTGAACTTGGAAATTTTGGCTGTGACGGATCTAAAGATGGGCTGTAATGACCCTCATCCTTTCCTAGCCCTAGGAATCCAGATGCTTCTGTCCCCAACCCTGTCTTTCACTACACTGAACCTGATTCAGCTGGTGTGTTTTGAGAGTGAAGACAATGCTTCTAAGAAGCACACAGAGAGACACTCAAACACGCCTGAAATGTCTAGTTAAGTTCATATTCAATTAGGAATTCCACCAACTGTCCAGACCTGAGCCACATGCTCCCCATTACCCTAATGATGTTCTTGGTGAAATTTAGTTGTGTCTTCAAAACTAATGAAGGTTCCTGGCTGGGAGCATTGATAAGAACTTCTTACTAAGGATGGTAGTGGCCCTCAACAGATGCTCCTATTTGTGGCTTTAGAAGGAAAACAACCTGAAAACTAAAGGGAAGCAAAGGAAAATAGGAAATCAATGACAAGTTAACACCACAGAGAGCAATTAGGCCTTGGAAGAGCGCTGTTTGCTTTGGCAGGAGGGAATTTTCAAGTGCATATGTATAGGATTTATATACTTGCACCAGACTGAAACATCTCGCAGACAGAGGAGTTAGCTGGGATGCCATTTGTAAGAGGAAAATGTTGATCAAAGATGAAGACTGCAGAGAGGGAACAAGCCAGCTCTTGCAGAATAATTCAGCAGCCTGGGTTTCCCAGTGCAAACCATCTCGAAATGTGGAGAGAATTGGGGTCAAAGCCATTCCTGTCCTGAATATTTGCAATGTGAATTCTCTGGTCTCAGGATCTGTGTTCCGATTTATAGAATTCAAAGTTTGGGTTGCAGAATTTGAGCAGCTGGATTATGTTTTGAAGCTGGAAGTGAAGGCATCTGGTTGGCCACTGTGAGAACAGAATGCTGAACAGGATTGGCCACCGGCCTGATCCTGCAGGGCTCTTATATTCTAACCTTCAGGGTTGG